TACGACCTTCGGCGTTATTATTAAAAAGTCTACCTTGTAGTAAGTATGACCTTGCTAGATATGGACTAACCGCCTGAGAGCGACGTTTCAAATCCAAACGGCCTGCATTATAGCATATATCGAATACGCTCCGCAATCATTGAAGCGTTTGTTCCCAGGTTGTTGGGACGTCATCACTCATCTGTCAAGTTCTGGGAATGAAAGAAATCGGAGAAACTACCACTGTATACCTCTGTCCATTCAAGTACAATAACAGTTAGTTGTTGTACACTACTGAAAAAGTAGGTAATGAAAAGTAACACATCAATTATTTTTGAAGTTATCATATTTCGGACATTATTATTAGCATATTTCGGACGTTTCGAATGCTATACACTGCCCGTGGGCCCCGGGTAGGGAGATGTTTAACCTCCTAATGTCATTAACCCAAGTCGGGTGTCTGATTATTTATTTTCGGTTTAATTTAAGCTCACCGTATCTTTCATGCAACTTCGTGACTTTACGTATATATATTATGTTAATGGTTATGGTTTCGTATATGATACTCTGTTGCGCTCAGGGGTGCACAAAAGAAATATTTAATTGTTAACTTTATGCCTCCTGTGTGAACGTTGGATGATCATTTACTTCCTTGTTAAGATTAATCGTTTCGTAGTTTTAATTTACTTTGCGTTTACAGTTTCATTAAACAAAATAGGGAACTCCGAGTGTACTTTACCGAGCACTTGGTATTCAATGTAGCAATAATGTGCACATATCCTATCGGAGAGACAGCACTTACGGATCAGCATGATGCCTTGATTACGTTATACCGTGGTGCAGATGACAAGCGCCTAGCGTTGTCATAAAATAAATTGAATTAAATCAATTGGTATACTCACAGGTAATTAATAGTAATTAATTACATACCGTGACTGTAATACAGAGAGCTCAAAGCTATGATAGCTCAGTGTCTGGGTGCTCGCTGTAATTAATAATTCAATATATTCTAGCAAACTGAGTTCAAATCCTGGTGCAGCTGTTAACTTCCAGTGCTGTCTTATCACGTTCTTAGCGGTGAAGGAAAACATTGTGAGGAAACCTGCATATATCCTTACTAATATTATAAAGGCGAAAGTTTGTATATATGGATGGATGTTTCTTACTCTTTCATGCAAATACTACTGAATGGATTTTAACGAAACTTTACAATAATAACAGCTTAAACATCAGAATAACACATAGGTTATAATTTATATACATATTTTTATGTATATCTGTCTTTCTGTCAGTATGGTACGGCTTCAGCCTACGCGCACGTAGTCGAGGGCAGCAGCTAGTACGAAATATTAACAAAAAAAATTCAAGTCTTGTATCTTGTATTAACTGATGTTTTTGCTTTCAGTCCCGAGAATATTAAAGCTTCATCTGACGCAGAACCGGTGGGCTAGCCAGAACCCACGGGTTTGGGAAATTCAATTCGCGTGGTGGACTATGCACTAATACCCTATATACTCGTACTATATACATATATAGGAAGCCTTTGCCCTACAGAGGAAGCCCAGCAGTGAGTGTATAGGCTGCTGTTTTTTTACTGTAATATAACTTCACTCATTTTAATTGTAACTTTTTGTATGAATTTCATCACATTTTTATAGGAATTATGTTATTAACAAATACTGCACAAAATCATAGATTCTTTTTGAATCATATATTCATCTTTTATCAACAACAATCTAAACTTTTATCACAATTGTTTAGTGAAAATCATAAATGTACAAAGCTCACCGTTCTACAGGAGCAGAGAAAACATTTTTGAGGAGATTATTTTTTAGCATATTTTAAAATTTTAAATCATCATTACGGTCACGAACGGGATATTCCGTCTGAAAGAAAACGCTCCTCTTTTACGTCTGTTCTACCTTTCAACGCAGACGTCAGGAAGTACGGAGGGGAAAATGATTGACGTAGTCGAGAAATTTCATTTTGCGGCTTGTCGAGGACATGTCGATAACGCATTGAGGCCTTTACTATGCCGCTTGATTACCTCCTCGAGGGCGCTTTGTGTTGTTGCTCTTAAGTCACATATCGTTGGATTCAGTGCGGGTCCTCGATTACGTTCGGCCAGTAATTCGAGGGTCTCATCGGCGTGCAGGCGTTGGCGTATTTAATGAAACCTATTACACGCTAATTGACGTTTTCCCCCCAAATCGGAATGCTAAAATAACTCCCACCATTCGCTTGAAATGTGCGACGGCGCGCTTATCAACCATCGCTCAAATATTCACCGACCACTGTGTTCTTTGAATCACCGCTAAAACAAATCGCAATGCGGACTTTTTACCTGTATTCAAATGTCATATAATTTTGCATACAATATTTCCCCGGGAGAAATGAGAACGAGCGGTGACAGGGGAATTTAATAATGACAAAATAATACAAGGTAACTTTAAGGCCAGGCCTTTCTGCTGTCCGTCATACGGGGCTCTATTCATGCACATAATATTTCTGAGATGTTCGCCGACCGCCTAACGACTGACTAATTTATTCGCCTGGGGTAGGTAGCCAAGTTTAATTTGTTGTCTTGTTTTTTATAAGTATTCTGAAAGAAATGCCAATGACCTGGCTTTTTAAAGGTAACTTTAAAATTGTATTAAATTTATTGCACAGATTGTATATTTAATGTATGACATATACGAAAGAATTTATACTATTCTGAATATTACACATTTTTATAAAACGAATTTAAACATTGTAAAAAAACTAATTGTATGGACTATATAGCGATTTATTTAAAATTTAAACTCAAGACTTTCGACAGAATACAGAATTCAGGATACGCGCCGACATAGACGTTTTAGGTCTTGATTACAATATGAACCAGGCTACTTGCAGCGGAAAAAATCATAATTTTATCCACCACTTCCATACGCCAAATCACTACATAGTATAAAACAAAGTCGTCCCACTGTCTGTCTGTCCCTATGTATGTTTAGATATTTAAAACTACGCAACGGATCTTGATGCTTGACGGTTTTTTACTAGATAGAGTGATTCAAGAGGAATGTTTATACAGCGTGTCGTTACCATCGCGACAATAAATGAACACACGTCTAACGCTACATGCCAATAATTATAAAAAAATATTAAAGTTAAACAAAATCCATAATTAAAAAAAAATATTTTTCAAACAAACTAATTAATTAAAAAAGAAACAAAATTGTAACATCCTATACAACTCGCGCCACAGCGTCGTATTACAAGCCTCTCCTTCTAACAGTATGTTTTGTCTCATTTAAATTCGTTCAACCTATTCATATGTTTTGTGACCTCTACAAATGAACTTTACGTTACGCTTTTATAGGTGAGGGTGTTCTAAAATTCTTTGTTTTGAAAAATTTAATAACTCGGTAAATATTGATGTTTAAAGAATTTAAATGTTTAATACAACTTAAAAAAGTTATCCCCTATATTTGTGTTCATTTATTGGTATCGACGATGGTAACGACACGCTGTATATATAATACATTAAACTCGTGCGAAGCTGGGGCAGGTCGGACCTTAATATTGGTGCATTGGTCAATAATACTAATTGTACATTGAAGTGATGGTGCGCTCGGGTCTAGATTAATTACATTGATAGTATCCTAATCCAACAGTAGAACAAATCCACTTCTCTTATAGATTTTGGATATTCTCTTTATTTCAATAGTCTCATCTTTGGCAGGTAATGGTGTTCTTTTGCTAATTAAAACGAAGGATGGCGGTGACAGTAGTAATTTAAATATCGGTTTGTATGGGTTTTTTTCCTGTACACTAAGGATTCATGTCACTTTGTTATTTAAAATTATTTGGAACATCTGTGTGTTACTGCGTAGAAAGTTAAAGAATAACAACATGCCTGAGTAGAATACATCTTTGAACATTGTCCCACATGTGACTGCCTACTGTCGATTGAGGAGTTATATAAACAGATGCATGATGTAGCAATGGGCTACCTAGTTTCATCCACGGTCTAAGCGTCTTCTCACAGTCCTCCATGAATATGTAGGCAACATATTGTCTCACAGGACTGTGAGAAGACCCTTAGAACTGTGGTCGGGCCACGCAACATTTTCGTCTTTTGCAAGCATGGGCAGGTCCGTCCGCGTAAGTACCATAACCTCACAGAAGACCGGCGTGAAGTGGAGGTGTCATACTTCGCGTTTCGTCTGGTGAGTTAGGTGGCTGAGGCCCACTTTATTAAAAGGTGACAACGCTACGGGTGTTGCAACTGCAGCTCGCTTGTCACCTTCTCACATAGAAAAGAACATTCATAAACGTTTACCAGCGGTATACTAATATAGATGATACTCACTAGTTCCATTCACAAGTTCATTTTTAAAACATCTTAAGTGTTTAAATCCAAAAATTAAATTCCCCTATAGTGAATTAGAAGCGTGTAACTATTTGAATCTCAGCTCACAGCTCACCATCTTTCCAATTTAGCTACGATGGCTAAATCTTTATTTCACGGGCATGGGAGATCCTTGACCATGAACACCTGGTCACTAAACTGTAGCATTTCAAGCAGGTTTTGTTCGACGATAAGCACAGTTCGGCGAATTCCTGCTGTTCTTCGTTATGTACGAGTAATTCTTCGTTATTATAGACAAAAAGGATGAATGCAACATCTAGCAGCGGGATTCTGTTAAAACATTTTGTGACTGAGAAGATGAAACAATTTTTTACCATGTGTCAAGTTTCTGCAAGATCTGCAAGCTGGCATCAAACATAACAGGTCCAGTAAAATTGTCACCAAAACCTCAAACCGCTATAGCCGGCCTGTGACCACAAAGGCTGTAAAGTATTCAAAACGTCGGAAGATAATATTAAAATTAACCGCAATAAAGACCATAAATTAAATTAATTATAATGCATTACACTTTGGGGCGCGTGTATGTTTAGGCCCTATTTGCAGTCCAAAGTTTTTTCTAATTTGATATGCCATGTAGGAGAACACAATGAGCGTTTAAGGGTTAATCAACGGAGCAGATGACAAATTGATACCGCTTCATCTCGAGCGGCGAGATTAATGCGCGGGCCACGCGGCGAGCGGCTAGACAAAACTCGCCGCCCGCGCACCCGCGGCTGGTGCGACCGGCGACTCTGCTCCGCTGTCTCGCGACATCTACACGCTGTCCTGTAAGCAATGCCGCTTATTATTTATCTGTCCCACACCCGACACCTCTGAAACTATGCTCCGCGTCCTTGGCTGAAACAAATCCTGATTTACTCCGTCAACTTAACGCATCGTTCCCCACAACTCCACCGGCACTTACGACTGCTCGAAACGGACCTCGCCACTCAACGGAGACAATAATGACGTGAACTCAATGTTAGAACTATAGTTTGATCTAAAATTAAATGAGATGAAAGGGGATGTAATGCGATAAAAAAAGCCGGTAAACTATACCAGCATTGTCTGAGTGCGGGTCTTTGTCGCGGACAAAACTGTTAATACGATTGCATTCTGCTCGATTAATGTCATAAATGAGAGAAATGTCGGATCAAAAGAATAGCAGGTGTGCTTTATTATAATAATTTGTCATCAGTCACCGTCCTACTTTCATTTCCTTTTGATACTCAGTCGAATCATTTCACGTCGGCATTTGATTATTAAAATGATTAGTAACTTAAGTGTTGTTAACAAAAAGGTTTGAGTAACAATTGTTTAATTTATATCATTACAATGTTTATTTCAAAACTAATTTAGTTTCCACTTAGCGTGCAGTGTTTAAAAACCAAATGACATGTCAATATCAATTTAAAAACTGTTCCATTATTGTTTCCCGATTGACGCGAGAGTAACGCGCCGCATGACAATGACCGAACATAATCCAAATCTAAACGCCACAACAAACCTGACGGAATATAAATGTGTGTCCCGATCCTGCTGGCTTGTGAACCGAGGACGTGATGTGTCGTTATTAACAGGCCTGCATTAATGACACATAAATACTTGAGCGCACTCCATGCCGTATGTACGTACACTTTCACGTACGACTCTAGCTCCAAACGGCGTTTGATCCGTTAACCATGCCTTCGGCGCCATCACGTATTCGCATAATGTAGAATATTTTGAGACCATAATTCGTTAAGCAGCTTTTACATTTTTATGGGCAAGCCGAATGAGAATTCACGACGAGCGCAGCGGTAGTTTATACCTTATTAGCGGCGGTTTATCGACTAAAATTATACAATTTCATCTGTATGGCGTATGTTTTATTGAATCTGAGATAATTAATCGACAATTACGATGCTGGACGTTATAACACGGGGTATACCGCTGTGAGACACAGCCTCCGCCGCCACTAAGGACCCATATGCCGCGTATAAATCGAGACTCTGCCTCAAAGCACCGCCTGCTCGCCAGATAAATATTGACATTTATGCACATATTGCTCCATATACGTTTTTTATGGTTGTAAAATATGAAGCTAGAGTGCGCGTTTGTTTAACTTTTAAACCAATGCTCTCGGTAAATAGCCATAAAAATTAGCATAATTGAATGTTGGTTTGCTGTAAATACAAATTATTTAGGCGTATAAGTCTCAAATGTCTTTGTTTATGTAGCTTAATTTATTTCTAAAGACGTAAAAGGCATACAAATTATCGTGCTTGATTGTTTTGGTATCGATGGCAATGAAATTAAATGAAATGAAATTGCTTGCGTAAAAATTTACCAGTACGTAGTCACTGGACCGACTTCCCACACAGTGGGCGGCGTGTGGCGACAGGGACACGTCGATCTGATAACATAGCTGTTAGACAACATCCAGCTGTTTTATCAGTGGACGTGAAATCAATTGAGCTCGCGGAATTATCGCATTACGATGCCTATGCATTGGCTAATTGGACGTTTCCTTGAACTGTTTTCCTCAAATCAAATACAACTCAGCATTTAGATCTTAAGGTAAGTTCAATTTATATTGTCAGCTTCCTTAGCTTACATTTGATGCGTAAGTAACAACTGTTTCCGCTATTTTTAACCCGTCTGAAACAACTGTAGAAATAGCACTTAATGTCAACCTTATGGCAACATTTAGTAACGCATTTTTAAAATGACGAGACAGAGAATAACAACAGAAATATAAAGGTCTTTATAACGCAATTAATCACCACTCTACTGAAGCTTAAAATGATATTTTTTCTTAATCTATTATCGACCTTAACATCGTAGAAATTAAGTTAATTGTTGTGATAAAAAAACCTAACTATACGGGAGCAGGAAATGCCGAAGCGGTAACGTGTCAAACAAAAAATCTAAAAGCACGCATTATGCTGTTAACTGCGATTTAACTCATTTCATATTTGAAGAGACTTTTGTTGTCTGACGCCACTTAATTTTATCACATAATTTATGACATTAGCGAGATTTCTTCGCAGGCACATTTATTACTGGAATTATTGTAATAGTACTTTAAAAATAACGCTGACAGATGTTGAAAACCATTTACGGTTTTTGGACATGTCTGAATTACGTACATTAATAAAGAATAATCGTGTATAGATGGAACTTTCTTTTTCATTTAATTCCAATATTAAAAGGTCCATAACAATGTATGTACTTTAAATTGCAAAGTTCAAGTGCTTGTAATCCGGAACGCTGTTTATTAGTTAAATATACAACAAAAGCGCTTTTTTTACTTAAATAACCAGCGCTCTGGTAGTTTGTAACTTAACAATTTTTTTATTGTGTTATTTCTTGGATGTCCAGTGATAAGATAGAGAGATAACACTAAAAATAAACCAATACAAAAGAATTTACTTTTAGAAAATGTAAAAAACCATGTATCTTTAAAAAAAATTATAGGCAACATATTTCAGGACATTGAAATTTGTAGAAAGAAGGATGAAAAATTATTCGCAGCTGCGGGAATCGAACCCGTGACTTATGGATCAAGCCCCGATGCCACCACTAAGCTGAACGACTGATTGACACATAGTAAGAAATCTCAACGTCTGTCTTTTATCTACATTATTTTTTCGCATTTTAAGCAATCGTTATAACATTATGTTAGAGTCGTTACAATATTTTTGTACTACTGCTTCAGTAGAAATTCTTAAATCATAACTAAAAAATTAAAAAAATACTAAAATGAAAAGAAAACCTCGCGCATAACGAGTAGCATCGAGCGACTATCTTAATATTGTCTTAGCGAGATTTTGGTCAGATTTTAACGTACCAGACCAGTTTTATTTTTGAGAAGAATAAAAAACAAATATATTGATTTCTTGATTTTACACGAATATTTTAAATATTAAATGGATACGGATTTCAATGCGTTTATGACCTGAATGGATAATGCTGCAATTCTTGACGGTAGTCGCATTAAAAATGTATAAGTCGACCCCTTTTAATATTAATACAGCTAACACGAAGATTGGACGAGTAAATATGACAGAAGGAGAACTCACACCGATCGTTGATTGAATTTAAAACGATACGATTATAAATTACTATTTACCTCGTACTTAATTATGTATTCATCGAACTAAATACTTGATTAATGTCATATACTTGCCATCAACAATGGTTTTATAACAGTGATAAACTAGTTATAGTATATTTTTTACCTTTATATTGTGGTAACACGTGGAAGGATAGGAAAACACAGGATCATAAGTCTAGATATTTAGTTCTCATTATCACAATCTATGTAATTATCATGAACTAGCAATCTTCAAATTACTGTTTGGAGGGAATGACATAAGATAACCTTTGAACAAAATATGTTTTTCATATCTTTTTCATCTTTTTTTATTATGTAGCTGATGTGAAATCTCCCTATTTGTTGCTCAATGAAGTAAAGATATGCGCAACAGATCTGAATGAAATCCTGTATGCGAGCGGAATATGATATGATTTAATGCACCGAATACATTTACGATCAGGTAAAACAAGACCACAATCTAACCCAAGTCCCGTGCTTTGGAAAATTCAGAACGAAACAACCTATTGGGTTGGCTACTGTGAAATTGGCGAAGCAACCTATTGGTTCTAGGTGCCGATTTTTAAATTGTTTCTTGTTGTCATCATAATTGCCGATTAGTTTTTAAATTGTATTTACATATACAGATATACATTTCCCGTTTTGGTTTATCTATCTTGATATGCAAAGGACGCCTTGCTATTATAATTAACATTATTCTTTACTGTAATCTATCAAAGTTCACTTCATTGGCATTACTTCCCCATGCTTAATAAGTTTATTTACTTGAAAGTCATTGCAAATCTATTTTTATTTTATTTATTTATTTTATTTGACACAAGATCCACAGCTCTTTGTAACATCGTACGCACATCTTAAAATTTAAAGTGTAATTAAATATGACATGTCAAACTTTTTACAAATATTTTCAAACTTAGAACATTTTCTAATTTCTTTTGGTTTCACCGTCTTCATGTCATACGAGAGCACCTACTTGTCTTTAATGATGATAAATTATATTGTTTCAAAACTTAGCAATTCAAGGTGTCTCAATAAATTAATCTTACCGCTGTCTGAATACAGTGAAACGGCAATTAAATGACCGAGTAAAATTACCACACAATGTGGCGTGTATATCACAAGATGACATCTGTCTGCCACACAGCAAACGCAGCCCTAGCCTCTCGTCATACACAACTTATTAACCTGTCAGTACAGGATGATGCATTTCCGTTTTTGGTTTATTAAGTTAGTTATAAAAATACTTCTTTTTAAAATCCTTTTTTTTAAATATAATTCTACAAAATTATTTCATTTATTTGCAAACAAAGAACAATTTTATTCACTGTCCAATAAAAACTCGTAAAGTAAAGTAACAGCCTATACATGGACCACAGCTGGGCAAAGGCCTCCTCTATACAGAGGGTATGAGGGCATAGTCCACCACGCGGCCCCACTGCGGATTGGCGAATTTCACATATCTTCGAAATATTTTTTTTTTGTTATTATTTCGAAAATATGCAGGTTTCTTCACTAGTTTTCCTTCACCGCGGAGCACGTGATAAGTCAGCACTTAAAGTTAAAAACTTCACTGGCACCGGGGATCGACCTCAGGTTGTTCGAGAATATTGAATTAAAGGCGAGCGCCCGGACACTGAGCTATCACGGCTCTTAAAAACTATGAATAAAAATTAAATATGCTTTTTTCTAATGAGTATATCAAGTTTTCTGCCATTCGTGTGGAGTATCTTAATATGGTGTATTAATTTATTAATGTAGGTACAAAAACAACATACTGTATTACTGGATGGCGTCTAGCGCCGCTACAGGGCGCTTATGAAGCCGTGTCAGGAATGTATTTAATGAGCACTGCGATAACTTATACACTACACGTTCATTTACGCTTTTTGGAATTTCATTCACTCCCTCTTGGTAGCTATGAAAAAGAAAGCGTAAAATTAATTAACACCAGAATGCAAGCAATGATCTATGATCCCCAGGAAGATTTATGCAGGTCCAGATCGTGGCACACCTAAATTAATTACAAACAAACCTAATGTTGCAATTAATTTGACATATCATCTAAGATTAATACGCTAAATGACTCCACCATGTTTCGAATGTAAGGAAAACATCATGAGAATGTTTTAAAATAAGCAGAAGTCATTTGAATCTCAATTTAAAACTCATTTTTAATGCATTCAGTACTGAGACCCGATTTCAAAACCAATGCTCGTTATTGTTTTAAATGGAACACAAACTTTTATGGTAATGCTTTTTATCGCAGCGGTTACAGATTCATAATAGCATGATCTCTATGCATTTGAAATATAATGACGTGATATTATTTCAGTTACTCACGAGGCTGACAACGTGGCTAAGATACCGTGAAGAAATTCATATCAATCTAATTTCAATTTCATTCGACGTTCCACAAAAAGCCGTATTTCGTAACATTTTCTTTAATATTTAAACGTTCCAATTGATTGAATATTTAAACAGAATTACAATTTATCTGTCTTTTCCCCCATTATAACTGAACTTTTTTAGACTTTATTTTTACAAGTTGTTGCCTTCGGAATCATGGCTCTTGGGTTCGATTCTTGAAAGGGACAATTACATATTTGCGTACCTGCTAATAATTGTTTCGAAATAGGGTATTTGTTTGTGCTCATTACTTATAAACGTACGATGTTAATATGATAATAATGATTCGATCCACGTCTGAAAAATTATTCATAATTTTATCCTAAATCTATCCCAAAATGTACTTAGTTTAAAAAAGACACTATTTAGTTTAAGAAAGACAGATATCATGACTATAAAATATTGATATACATCAACATTTCTTTGATTTTCTGTTCATTTAAATATTCAAATAAATATTGATACATGAATTTTTTTTAATATCTATTTCTATGACTTAGTTTTTGTACGTGTGAGGGTATATGTATT